GGGTGTGGGTGTGGGTGTGGGTGTGGGTGGGTGTGGGTGTGGGTGTGTGGGTGTGGGTGTGGGTGTGGGTGGGTGTGGGTGCGTGTGGATGTGCGCGGGTGTGGGTGGGTATGGGTGTGGGTGTGAGTATGGATAGTTGTGGGTGTAGGTGAGGGTGTCTTATTTTCATACACACCAACACCCAAAGACACCCACACCCACACCCACCCACCCACACCCACACCCACCCACCCACACCCACACCCACACCCACACCCACACCCTAGCCACACCCACACCCACACCCACCCACACCCACACCCACACCCACACCCACACCCACACCCACACCCACACCCATCTACCTCAAGGTGCGTCAACAGCCGGTAATATTTTAACTTTGTTAGTTGGGTGGTGAAAGCTTTCATTTGACGCCAAAATATCAAGTCTAACCCGGCTACAATACAAACACCTCCATTGCTAGTATCCATTTTCATCTCTTCAAGTATCATGAGAAATTTTAAAATGCATCTGTTCAATAAATAAAGATTATAAGCTCTTGAGAGTTGATTATTGAAATTTCGAAAGAAAAAGTTCTTAAAATTCAATAAACAGTATTGGATTGATTTTAACGCATCCTTATTCATGAAAACTCTCTGAATCATTACAACATAGGGACACAGGCAACAAAAAAAAGATTCTCTTGATGAGATGCAATGAAGGAGAATGCAACAAAAAAAAATGTAATATTACTTTTCATTTTCTTCACTATTCATTTATTTACACAATCTACCTTCACAATGATGTTACGCACTGTGTTTATACATACGAAAGAAAAAAAAAGATAGTAATAATGATACAGATATATGTGTGAAATGCTCTTTTTTTCTTCGTTCTCAAGGTACATATGTAGTGGTGTTTCTCTCTCTTGATATTTGCAATTGTAGAAAAAAAAATTTACTGTAATCTTGCACTGATGAATCAAATGCTGGACATCATCAACCAGTGTTCTTTCGTGTGATAAAATTCTGTGTTTGAATGACATTGTTATGTTTTTATTCTTACTATTGAAAAACAAAATGAACTCTGTCGTTTATACATTGCTTCAGATCAGTTAAATTACGTAGTACATAAATACAGAAAAAAAGTAAATATACGAAACAATTCCTTTAGCTAAAGTGATGATGCAATGCTCAATCTTATCCATCATCTGCTAATCTCTGAATTATTTTTGCTAAGGTGAAAGTAAAATTTAATAAACTAATTTTAGTTGTGTATTAATCATTTGTATTTGTTACTGGATTCATATATGACATAAATTAGTAGAAAAATTCATATTCATTCTATTGAATAAAACTAAACAATATTTCTTTATTTGATTGTTCTCATATTTTTGTCGTATGTTCTTTTGCGATACATAATATCACACTTTTTGTACAATAATCCTTAAGAAATTCAAAAGCATTTAGCAACACATTCACACGAATCAGAAATGAATAATTAAGAAAAAGAAAATTCAAAGAGTTTTAGATTAACATACGTTTTAAAAATTAGTAACATCAAATTATCATAGAATTCAATAAAATAGAGTGGAACTCAAGTAATTCTATCTAACTTAAAGAAGTAAAATTGCATGTGTTACATAAAAACACCTATTCTTCCATATTAGCACAAACTAAAAGAATTTACCAATATTCAAACAATATTTGATCTTTCTAACTACATCATTGAGCACAATGATGATGTTTGAGAATCGCTGTCAGTGAGATAGCAACAATATATTATCAATAGCTACTCGCTCTCTTACAAGCACTTGATATAATATGATCACAAAGTTGTTGGCTCTACCATTATATCCTTATTTTGTTGAATTTCTTGTTGTCGTTGAGTTTTGGATGTGGGTATTATCGTAGTGCAGGAGAAGACTCCAACATCTGAGCAGTCAAATATTAAAAGTCAAAGCTATACCCACGTACAGTCCGTCGATCGATGGATCGGTCTTTGATTTTCAATAAAACACTTAGTATCTTTCTGCTTTGTCATAAATTCTATCTGAACAGATTTGTTTTAAATACATAGCTTGATGAATGACTCACGATCAATGAATCACGTAATGGCCATCTGATTACGACAGTCGCTATGATCTTGCATATGATATTCCTACGTATCTGGAAGTTATTTTCATTAATGAACATATATAATAGAATTATACAATAAAATTCCATCGATCAATTTTTCTAACGTAAGTAAAGAAGTTCTTTTATTTTCTCATCGTAACCACACGAATATTGAAAGGAAAGACAAAAAAAAAGCAAGGATATAGAAAGAATGAAATACTAACGAATACGAGCGAAGCATAAATAAAAAATAACTTAATTGATGAAAATGTCATGGTCGATTGATTCATGTAAACAAGCGTAAGTGAGGAAAAAAAACTAAGTAATTTTGCAAACAATAAATACGAAGTAAAAACCGGTTACTACTGCATAAAACACAATTTGTACAAGATAGTAACACTAAATATGTAAGTATGTTTGATTTCCAACATTGTTATACTGACGATACAATTAAATGTGAAGTTTAAAAGTAATTAATAATTACAAAACGTGATAGAATATAGATACCAGGAATTTTAATTATTAGAAAGTAATTTTACGGATACTCCAATAGTAGAGGATGCTCATGAGGAAACCTTTTTAGGTGTCCTCTTCGATTTCAACGATTTTTTGTCTATAGATGCTTCATAGTGTTCCAGTTAAGACTCTAAAAGAATTTGAGTTCCTATTGAGATCTGACCAAACTATCGAACTTTTAATATATCTATTTTCAAGAGACGCCTCCCTGTAGAGAGTCCCAAGGTTATCGAAAAAATCGGATCTTCGAATTTAGATCTGAAACTTTGCACATTTGTAAATCTTAACTATGCCAGCTCACATAAAGTAATTGAGATGTTTCTAACGAAGTCTTCTCAAGATATGGTCCTTTTCAGATTTAGATTCGTTTCCAAGAGCAAGCATTATACAAAATTCTTGTACCTCGAAGAGATTTTCAACAATTCTGAATTAAGATCTACAAATGTGCAATGTTCCAGGTCTAAATTCGAAAATATGAGTTTTCTGACAACCTGGCGTCTCTAGGAAAAAAATTCGATAGCTTAGTCAATTCTCAATAGGAAACCGAATTCTCTCAGAACGAGAATTACGATATGCCTACGATCAACGTAAACCACCGTATATCGATGCTTACAACGTAGTCTTCTATCGTACTTCCATATGCTTAGTTCACTGAAGGAGAAACTTCATAGTTCCCCATCTTAAACAACTAACCTTCAAAATATTTTTTTTATGTAAAACATTTTCAAAGGACCATTTTTTTGTGAATTTAAAAAAAAAATATTTCTTTTAAAATAATTACAAAAACATTATTTTAAAATAAATAAAAACTTGAATTTGAAAAAATTATTCGTTTTTTTCCCAAATAAAAATTTTTTTAATTTCGAAATAATTAAAAATTATTTTAAAAATAAAAAATACTTATATTTGATTATATCATTCAATATGTTCTAAATAATAAAAAAACATTTCGTTAAGAAAAAAAAACAAATAAATATTTACATTTAAATAAATTTTTCGATTTGACCTAAATAGAAACTAATTTATGTTAAAATAAATTACAAAAATTGCAATTGAAAAATGATTTTTAAAAATAAAATCATACATTGCAATATATATCATTCGATTTAATCGAAATAAAATAATTATTTATTTTAAAATTAATAAAATACTTACATTAAAATATATTGTTTGCTTTGATTCGAGTAACAAAAATTTTTGCATTTTAAAATAAGCACTGCTGAGATTTATCGTCTGTAATCGAAAGAAGATGGATTAAATTGTTTTTTTGAAAAAAACTACTTCGTATTGTATTTTTGTCTAATTCAAAGAGAAACAACTGTATACTCAATTACTACTGTTTATCTCACGACGACCTTACGACCAGATTCGATCGTATACTGCCGTCTGAGTTTTTAGGATTTTGACTAGAACACTCTGGAGCATCTATAGGCAAAAAAAAATCATTGAAATTGAAGAGGGACACCCGAAAAGGTATCCTCGTCAATATATGCAATGGATAGCCTAGATTGAAATAGACTTGGTATGTTAAATAAAATGGCTTTTATGTTGCGTACGTTTCATGCCGACTTATGATGACGTAAGACGAATCTTATTCTTAGGAGGCATTGTATCTAAGCCTCGATGAACCTCGAGCTGAACGTTGCTCAATCGATCTTTTTACACTAGATATATACATATGAGTTAGGAATAAACTTAAAGTTTCAACTCTAACGAATGAGCCATTCCGAAGATGTAGACATTTCAATAATGAGAAGTTAGGTTAACTTTGAAGTACCTAACAATCCACTACTTTTCAGTAAAGCTTCATTTTCTAAATAATGATAAACGTTATAGAAGAGATTTTTTACCATAAAATACTATCAATCGTGAGCTATCTTTTCATGCTGATAAAACTATCTTATCATTTGAAATTTTTAGTCGAATATCATATGCCATTCCCAGAAAGGCTGACCTCGAGGAATAATTAAGTTGGTCGAATTAGTATGATAGAATCGTTTGAAAGTAGTTTCATTTGAAAGATCACATCAAAATGCATCGAACAACGTTTTCAGAAATTTGTTATGTCGAACATCAGTAGGCAAAGTTTTGTAAATAACATAGAAAACACCGAGTGTGTGGATGTTGATGTCTATAGAAGTATCGGCGTTCGTCTCCGAGTGTTGATGAAAGGAAGGTTAGCATCTACACCCACACCCTAGTTTTGATGTTGACTAGGTTCTATAATATATTTATTGTGGTATAAAAGTACTTCTTAGAAAATTGTCAAATCTGTACTTTTATAAATCTAATTTTCTCCAGCGGAACGCAACAAAATTTGTTAATATACACGACATTGGATAGAGGCCGCCTTCTTCTATAAACCTAAATATGTTCCATCCTGTAGTCAAATTTCACTATGAAATTTATAGTTACCTTTTTACAAAAACAAAATAAAGTACAGTAATAAAAGTTGAATAATCATTAAAAATTTTCGGTCGATTACTTTTCAGATATTTATCATTTTAATAATTCGTGAATAAATTTAGTTCTGTTGAATATGACCACAGAAGAAACAGAAGAAGCTCTAAAACAACACGCATTACGCTTTAGTGATGTTATTGACGAGCCATTGGAATTTCTTGCACCTATTAGTGGTTATGGAAAAATGCCACTTGTTTCACTTGAAGAAGCAGTCGAACCTCTTGTTCCTATTCTCCCAGATGTTCAGAGTCACGCTTATGTCGCCAAACAACGATGTAAGAAACCTGCTGATGGATTGACACAAGATGAATCCGCCTCAATTATGCTTTACACGATGGAATGGAAGCCACGTGAAGAATGTCTCTATGTTGTTTTGAATAGTACCTTACGAGCATCAGATCGACAAGAGAAACTCAAACTATGGTATCTTTATTTGAGACTTTTTCTAAATGCCCTCTTTCGGCTTCCACCACTTACAATAAGTGCATACAGAGGTCTTAAAAAAGATATGAGTAAGAGCTACACCGAAGGTCAAACGATTGTTTGGTGGGGTTTTTCATCTTGCACAACAACTGTTAAAGTTTTAAATTCGAAAATATTTTTGGGAACGACAGGTGAAAGAACAATGTTTACTTTACAATGCCGATCAGCTAGAGACATTCGTAAGCATTCGTTTTTTCCATCTGAAGAAGAAGTGCTTCTGATGGCTGCAACTCAATTCAAAGTAATCGGTTATCTTAATCAAAATGATCTTCACATTATTCAATTGGAAGAGACTTGTCCACCATATCCGCTTTTACAACCAGTACCAATTATTATTCCACCAAAGACTAATTCAATTCTTCCAGGTAAGTGAAAACAAGCATAAAAGAATATTTCAGATGATAAATAACACCACAAGTCTTGATGTCATAAAAAAAAATCGAGAACTATAGCACTAGATCAGTATATCATGAAATATGGACACAAAGAATCGATTTTCTACAATTTTAAAAACGAAATGAATTTTCAAAGATATAAAACTAAAATTGAGTTAGTTTAAAAGATTAGGAATAAAAATTCTTCGTGATGGTTTTCAGTTAAATTGAATGAAACGTTTAGGTTCAAAAACAATTCACAAAAAAATCAATGTTGTCTTATAACATTGGAATAACGCATTAAAAACCTTATGATTTTCGACTAGGTTATTTTTTCTTGTATTCTTAACTATTTTCGTTTTCAATAATTGATCGAAAGAATATAATGATTACTGGAAATATTCCCTTCAGAAATTGCTTTCGCTTCCTGCTCGAAAATTTTTAGGGCACAGATGTGGACAAAGACGTGAATAGGGTAGGGCGCTCAGGATGTAACGACGCCGCTGCTTTTGAAACTTTTGTACGGTACGCTCCTTTTCTCTTGTTTTGAAATTTGCGTACAATGATAATAAAAAACGTAAACTATATCGATATGGCACCCCAACGTCTCACCTGCATCTTTGCATACCGACTTACGACCTTGTGTATGGGTGTTGGTACGGATAACAAAATAGCTGGACTCACACCCACACATCAACCTGTACACCCACAAAACCTATATAAAACAGCATTTTAAATATAGCAAAGAATAACTAATCGTAATTTTTTATTGAAGGTGCTTCGACAACGAGTACTTCTAGCATAAGCAAAGCGAAAAAAGAGACAGATTTCAGCGAGATTCAAGTAATTCAAAAAGATTTCTTAGTGCCCTATTTTTTATTCACATCTATTTCATTTTGTTCACAGATTAATACAACTACAACAACTGCTGGCAGCATCGAGCACGCTGAAGTTAGCTTCGTCACCAACCAGGTTAGACTATAAATCATTCTAGTAAATGGATCTTCATGAAGTATCTCACACTTTTAGATATCCGCCGTGGAAATCAGTGCTCTAGAAAACATAGGTAGGCTATAGTTAATTATCATCTTGAAAGTGAGCTCAATTAGTGATGTTGAGGGTTATTCGAATAAAACCATTGCCATTCCTCAGGTCTACCAGATATATGCAAGAAATTTGTAAATTATATGATAAATTTCCGAACAAACTTTTTCGCTTGTTCATAGCTTATGCATATGAAGTTCATCGAGTGTTTTAAACAAATGTGACAATTTATTTATAGAAGGCAAAACTATGTCGCTTATCCGAATTAGGTTTTCATATCCATTTATATTTTTGTCATGACATGACGTCGAAAGCACATGGATATTTTTTTTTTAAGTCACAATAATGTGAAGATTTCGTCTTCTAAAGAAATTGTGTGTCCTTACGCTACATCGAGTCAGGACTACGGTTTATTGCATTGAATTTTTGCACGATCGGTCGAATGTTTCTCGAAAACATGATTTAGTAACCATTAGGTCTGATCTTTTTCTTATCGAATAATCGCTGCGTATATTAGAATTGGGTATTGGTATGGGAATAATACAATAGAAAATTCATGCTCTATACTCATCTGTTTTATATCAAACACCATATTCTATCGAAGTCAAAGACTTACTGGCACTAGACCTCTATGAGCTGTCTCTAAGAAAAAAATTCTGATCTCTGTCTCTTGTCCGTCACGAAACATTAAACCTGAAGCTTGCCAAAAATTGTGGATTTCACCTCTATATGCATAGTCTATGGAAAAGAAAACGCTTAAAAAATTCATTCAAAAAAAAATGCATTGTGCATATAACTGACAATTATATATTCGTTACAGAAAAAAAATATTTGTGTATAATGACCAAGTAAATCCACGTTCATGAAATACACATAATTCTTCCTTATTAATATGAATACAGTAAACATGAAGACTGAGCGAAAGAACATGGATTTATTTATATATTCACATACATTAGATTCTTTTTTTTCAAACCTACTAACAATTAAAATCGTTTTCAAGCAAATCTCGACAGTTTACTAGATTCGAAAGGATTTTCGAGAATAAGAAAAAAGGCGTATAAAACATTTTGACTCCATTCAGTCACACAAGTGTTCTTTAACCCTTTCAATCCCAATATTTGCTGTTGTTCTGCACGAAGTTGAAGAAAATCTCGGTTTCTCTCTGTTTTACGTTCTGCTTTCGATAATCAGCTGTACATGAAATCTAGCTTCATTAGTTCACCCTAGTTCCTTAAATTTTCCTCAGATACAACTTCTCGAAGATTATATAGCATGAAGAATAATCTAGTGTTGAATACTTTCAGAATTTCGTAAATCATTATTACGAGAAGATGTTTTAGCATTGGAAAGACGACTTTTTCTTTTTTCTTTCTCTAATATCCATATTTGATTGTGTTTCTTCATATTTGTTTTTGTTCATTTGAATCGTAGATTGCGACTTCGTTGATAGTTAGATATCTTAAATAAAATGAGTGAGTAATATGTTAAATCAATCAACTATGTCAACTTTTAATTCTTTATTTACATTATTTGATAAAGGCTGAGAATAAATATCCTCCATTCTTGCTATCGAAGATAATACAATAACGGATAATTATAGTAAATTATTATTATTATTATTCATTTCTATGGACATATAAGAAGAAGCGACTAATTGATGCTTCCAGTGTTTTCTGAGAGATTGTCTTGTATGTTCAACTTCACGACTTTATTCACTGTTAATCTATTGTAAACTATAAAATTAAACTTATTTCGTAATTCAACTTTGAATAGTTAAATGAATTGCATGTAGAGTGAGAAAAAAAAATGAAAAGCTAAGAAATTATTAGGATAATCTCTGAAAAAAATCTTATACTTTAGACTTGTCGTTTTTTTTCTTTAAATAGAACATTGAATTAAAACATTCGAATGTATTAAAATGCATTATGAAAGTTATCATAGGATTTTGTTTTTTTTTTGTTAGTTATTATAGTTTCGAATTAGATACGATTAAAAACTCGATTGACATCTCTCTATTATGGTGAAACATGTTGATAAGGAACGTTTTTTTATTATCGACGCGAAGATTCAGTTGATTATCATTAGGAAGACGAATAAGTTGAATTACAAATTATGTATGAAAGAGTGTTTGAATTGAATCATATAAAGTTGTTTTTCGACAAAAAAAAGTGCTTCAGTCAATTAAAAAGTAGAAGAACCATATTGATGATGCTTGCCATACAATTCTTTATGGTTCTCTCATCGTTGTTTTCTTTTCTATGCAGCCAATGATTGAATAAAATATATCTCGAGAAGAATCGATTTGACACTAGATGAGGATAGTTACTGATATGAGTCTGTCATATCTTACGGAGTAATTGTAAATTTTATGAGTTTCATTGTATAAAATTAATGACTTCTTAGACAAATTCATTTTATCTTAACACATGCACATCGCACCCATACCCACACCCTCTTCCTATGGATTAGTTGATAAGTCAAGTAGAAATCTTACATTCAGGCATGATGACCAGCCATCGGTCACCTTCGCTTGACGGAAGTTCGAAGTCACAAATGTAAAGAAAATTGTCTCTAAAATCAAAGATGCACTATTAATAGATTATCGAACATGTTCTAAGCTCTGAAGTAAACATACTCACACGTTTTAAACGCCATTTTTCGTCCGGCAAATATCTAAAACGAGATTTATTGACTGCTTATACTAAAGAAAGTATGGTTTTTCACATTGTTGCATTGAATTTTTGGATTAAAAAATAGATAGATGTTCTAATGTAATTTTGTTACGAGAATAAGAGTGACATACTGGAACGATAAAACTATTTTTGTACTACTCATTGATTAGAGAGAAGATGAGTTTTTGCCATGACAATTTGCAATATTAACTTCTTAAACCTTCTTATTGAAATGTCAAAACAAGACGAAATTCTGTAACGGACAATATTACAAATCTTTTATTTGATGAAGCTAGGCTCGATCAGAAATGATCCGAGATCCTAACAGCTTGTTAAAAACTGAACAACTTTTGCATATAGCAGTTATTTGTGTGTCGCTTTATTCTGTACAAAAATACTTAATTCTTAGCTATCCTTAAAAAGAAACTTTCATTTTTTGAAATACCATAATGATCAGTATTTGTTGAATAATTCTGTGGTAGTCGAAGAGAAATTGATACAGTTTTTACTGGTAATAGATCTAAACGATCTCTATTTGCGATAAAAAATTTCAGACAGTTTACTTTTATTACTGAAACGTTACAGATGTTGCAATGTGAAAAAATGAAATTTCATTATGTATGATCACACTCTCTCACATCTTCTTATAGAGATTAGTGATAGATAGAAACTACTAGATTAGAAATCTTAAGAAACAATCGCTACACTAGCAAATATGTAGAAATATTCACCTACGTAAAAGAAAATTGCATCTTTTTTTTTTATTAACGAAATCGAAAACTGTATGCAAACTGAAAACGTGTACTTATTCGACTCATTCTCAATATTCATCAATAGTATCAAAAAAAAACAATGAAGTCTTTTTTGAAGTAGACTTTTTACTGAACTATTGAAATCAATCAAAAAATTGCTAGTTAGAGAACTACATCTTTTTAAATGAAAACCTCCAACTTATATAAAGAAAGTAACATCCTACTAGTAAACTGTAAATCACTATGAAAGAACCATATAATTCTCTTATATACGGTATCTGTGAACTGAACTTCTCAGTCGAAAATTGATTTAGATTTTTTCTACTATGAACAAGTTTAGAATGTCTTCGGTAACGGCAAGTTGAAAATAAAGATGATCGAATTATTACAATATACTCGAACGATAGACTGAAATCAGTTGATTTCATTCAATCTTGTTTTTTTTAATTTTATTATCCAATTATATGATCCTATTGACTTTTTTCTCTTGATTTTGCTTTTTTTTTCTTTCATGAAATTTTTTATTTCTAAGGAAACGTAAGACCTTGTCCTAATGTTATTGTTTTTGTCCTAAATCTCAAGTTAATATCAGTATATATCATTCGAAAATGCTAGACAACGAAAAACAAAAGTTTCGTCGAAGATTTCAACTAATCTTCTCTGTTTGTTTATGTCAAGAGTCAATATCTAATAAAAATTTCATAGAAAAGAAAATCTTTCCATTGATCACTTTTGAAAGATTTTACTTAATATTAAGATAAAATTTCCTATCAAGATTCACATTATAGTTCATATTGTCTCGTAAAGAATTGAATGTACATGATTTTTCGAAATTCAAAAACCAAATTGTAATTAATACTCGGCAGAATCTGTTAGTTTATGATATTTTCTTTAGTCGTGTCAAGATTTCATTTCTTTCTTTTATTTCTCTCAGAATTCTGATGAGATGTTACAATCATAGCTCAACAAAGAAAATTGATGAGTAATAATTTGAAGAAATCTGCAAAAAAAAGGATTCTTATTTTCTCCTTTTACAATGCTAAATAATTTTGCTATTTTCTAACTAACATCCTGTTCTCATATATTATACAGGATATCCCAAAAGACAAAAACTCGCTGGTTTTTGTAATAGACAGATTGAGATATTTTTTGTTTGAAAATTGATTCAATAAATATGAAGTCTATTTGAGAATAAAATCGATTTTTGCTGCTCTTGATCTTTTATATTAGTATTAACTAGTTTAATAACTAAACAGTATTATAACCTGATGTTTGTTAAAATTTTTGAAGAAAAATTATAATAAAAGTCGACGACGCTTTAAATGAAAATCGATTACAATATTCAAAACCGTAATTCACTCGCTTAAAAAATAGATTCTCATTGATTTTAGCCATTTTTTTTCGATCGATTACTATTAATTAATGGATTGAAACATTTTCTTTTCAAATTGATTAAGAAAGATTTAGATCAAATCAAATCTATCTTCAACAATCGAAAAATAAGCAGTTTTTTTTATCATATTCAATTATAGTGTGAACCATTTTAATCGATTCTTTCGGTTCGAGGAAAAAATCGATTAAAATGAAATAAAGTTCGAACTCTAATGGATATATTAGAACAAAAACGATCCTCACAAAAGTTGAGGAACTTGACGGTGAAAACTAGGTTTTTAATTAAATATTATTCAAACAAATGCATTTTGTTCTATGACGAAGGTCATCTTTTCGAGAAACACGAGCTTTCAGACAAGCAAAAAAAAAGGATTCAAGTTGAGTTCTTACTGTGATATAAGACCACTATATTTCTTTCTTAATAACTCAACTATGAGAACCAAAATACAATTCAATGAGAATTGGACAATTTATTACTCTCCGAAACAATATTTCCCCATGAAAAGCTAGCAAATATAAATTTTATTTTTGTCGTAAGGATCTAATTGTTTATGGGCCAGTTCCACTGTTTAGTTGTTTTTTTTTCTTTCACTCATAGTATCTAGTTTTATGTTTTGAATCATGGATTCCCAGCTGTTTTTGTATGTTTAGTAAAGAATGAGTATAGTTCATTCGTAGATCAATGACGAAATACGAGTGAATCAATATGAACTACGCAATTTTTTAAATTTTTAGTGCTTTCATAGAAATCGCAGATAGCTATGACTGATTCACATTAGCAGATATGCCGAAGAAGCGAATAGTTCTAGTCAGATATCAAGAATAAGGTTTTTTTTTTATTATCTATTTCATAAAGTTCAGGGCTTATTTTTATGTGATTTTTTCATTTTTTGTATATACCAGATTGAAGAGATATAATTTTATATGTATAATATCTATATTGTTATCAAAAATTCAGCTGTGGATTCCATAAGAACATAAGGATAACAATGAATCATAGTATATTGTCTAATAATAACACATATTGTGAATAATTACGCCAATTGAGTACATATAGTCAATTTTGGATGATGATTCAGATGTTACGAGTTTTATTTTTCCATGTCTGTGCTATTTCACATATCCAAAAAATCCAAAAACAAAAAATAAGAGACTAACAATGGTATAAAATCTAGAATGTGTTCATTATATAGGTTACTTTCACAGGGTGGTGTATAGTAGTTAGATGCGTTTCTTTTAAAGTTACCGTAGCTTTCATCATATATTTTAACATAAGAATCAGCGTTCCGTTTTTTCAATTGAGTGTTTGTTTGAAGCGAACTATTTCTATTCTTAAGATTAGATTTTTTTAAGTATAGTTTTAGACTTCCAACAGTGCACATGTATGGAGTGTGATTGTTAGGTCTTCAGTGACATCCTTCATTTGAATTTAAAACAAAACCTGTTCTGCTAGACTCATGAACAAAAGAAAAAGGTCTTCGATATTCAGAAAGCGCTTTGCAAAGAGTGATTTCCTTGGACGAAGGAGAATTTCTCATCTGTTGTAAAGTACTTTCCTCTTACGCGAAATGGAATCTCGTCGAAATGATAACGATTTCTTTTCTTTTTCTTGTTCATTGTAGTGGTTCCTAATATTCCAGTCAATGCTCGATGGGTACAGAATGGAGTAACCGTTGCTGGAGGCTATGGAGCAGGACATGCTTCCAATCAACTCTTCTGGCCTGAAGGTCTCTTCTTTGATGATAATCAAACGATGATCATCGTTGACTACGGTAATGATCGTATCATCCAATGGAAGATAGATGATATAAATGGAAAAGTCATCGCTGGTGGTCGTGGCCAAGGAAATCAATTAGATCAATTGAATTGTCCAACTGATTTGTTAATCGACAACGAGACGGATAGTCTCATTATTTGTGATCACGGAAATCGACGAGTTGTACGATGGCTTCGTCGTAGTGGCACAACTAAAGGTGAAATCCTCATTGACAACATCGCTTGTCGAGGATTGGCTATGGATGATCAGAAATATCTTTACATCTCTAACGATGAGAAACATGAAATAAGAAGATATCAAATAGGAGATAAGGATGGAACTCTTACAGCTGGTGGTAATGGCCGAGGTGCTAGTCTTAATCAACTCAACTCTCCGACCTACGTTTTTGTCGATCGACAACATGCGGTCTACGTGTCAGACAAGGAGAACCATCGTGTAATGAAATGGAATAAAGGTGCAAAAGAAGGGATTGTCGTCGCTGGAAGCCAAGGCAACGGGAATGCTCTGACACAATTGAGGCTGCCTATGGGACTGTTCGTCGATACATTAGGTACCATCTATGTGGCAGACTCGTCGAATCATAGAGTGATGCGTTGGCCTCAAGAAGCAAAACAAGGCACTATCATTATGGGTGGAAATGGCCAAGGAGAAGGAGCAAATCAGTTCAACTATCTCAGAGGTCTATCCTTCGATCGTCATGGCAATCTCTATGTCGTCGACTATTATAATCATCGTGTTCAACGCTTCGCAATCGAATGAACTCGAAAAAATTGATGAACTTCTTTTTCTCGCTCTCGAATAAAATGTGATTGAATGACAATCTGCTAATGGCTATTCTATTGTCGTACACGCACGTGCGAGGAGGAACTATCCTGATGGAATCATGGCGAGCGTAAAGCTCACCCACATCCCTCCCGATGAAAGATGTGCTAAAGGGTCTGCGGAGCGCAGTCGTGTGCGATGAGCCCCATGACAATTCCTGGCCGAAGTTTTAGAGCCCATCCAGAAGGCGTGGATGTGGATGTGGGTGGTGCAGATGCAAGAAAAGAACCCAAGGGAGAAAAGGCGATTTGTGATTTTGTGATTTGAAAATGAATTTTGATGATTTAAAGTGATTTAATTATGATTTTCAGATGATTTTAATCAGCTTTTTCCCCGTTGAAAGAATCACAACCACGTTCACTCACACCAACACCCACATTCACATACTCAATACTGAGATTAGAAAGAAAGACTATTTAATATCAATAAAAAATTTCACTTCAAGTCATTTATACTCATCGATTCCATTTTTCAATGATTGTTTGAAGTACGAATAAAGATCTCAATGATTGACAAGAAACATACTCTAGATGAATGATTCTTCATGCAACAACTTTTTTTTCATGTTAACATGGCTATTTCTCATATCTCAGATAACATACATGAAAATGTTCATATCAATTAACCAACTCAATTTCTTGTTCTTCGAGTAAATCAATAATTTGCTTCTGATAACTTTGATTAATATTGCTCACTGGATCAATTCCTTATTTTTCATCAATTTTAACAAGATTCACTTGTCGAAGCCCATTTCTTTGTAAAATAAACTAATCAATATTTGTCATTGAAATTTCAACAATTTAATCTCTTCTGTGATCCAAAATGTTGTGAAACGACAAGATCGAGGATTTATCATCCATGCACAATGAATAAATAAACGAAAACATCAGAACGATCAATGTTAGATTCGTTTGAGTAATTCAGAATACTTGATGATCATCATAGAATAAGAAGAATCTTTCAAAAAACTCAAAATAAGATATATCAATTAAAAAATATTAAATAATGAATTATATGGGAAAAATTCTCATTTTGAAACATAGTAATATTGAAAATTGATCGATCAATTTATTCGATTAAACGATTGTTTTAAATAAAGAAAAACGTATGAATATCAAAATTTCCTTCTATTCTTTCAGATATACGAGAGATTGGTAAAAGTGATTGCTATGCAACATTGAAATAATATGATGCACTACAAACGTTTGTTCATTTTTTCCCACACATATATTTCCCTGATATACGCGGTGTATGCTTCGAAAATGAATTGATGCGATTTTGATAAATAGAGAGATGTAGTAATTTAAAAATCACGATATTTGTAACAGACTGTTGATCTGACTGTGACGACGCAGATCAATAATAAAATGATAGTACGCTTTTCAATCTAAGCTTAGTGCTCATTTTCGCTTTTCTTTAGAATAATTCTTTTTTTTTCGTCTATTTCTGCTCTTTCTCATTCTTTCCCTCAAACTTCGTTCAATGCCATGCTGCATTTAAAGGATGTGGGTAGATATTGACAAAGAGAAGATCCATGCTTATATTGATACTCAATCAATTCATGCTTTAGAATGGATCATATGAAAGTTATATCAAATTACAACATCATTCTTGATATCTTGATTATAATCATTCTAGCTGCATAAAAGTGAGAAATTGCATTATTTAGAATATTGAAAAACATATTCGAGTCATTTGAGTTTCAAGAAAGTCTCTATGATATTTGAGAAAACCCCATGTCTTGATATTAATATGTTTCAGCTTTTTTAATCTTATTTGCTAAGGTATGTTGCGGAAGAGGAATGGTGAAGAACTAGAAAACTTCTACTTGAAACTTTCACTCATTATTTCGAAAATATGCGAGTTTCACAAATCAATAGACTCTTAGGGAACGTTTCAAAATGTTTGCCGGTCGGCCGGCCGCTCTGCCGTTCAGCCGCTCAGCCGCTATGCCGTTCTGCCGCTGTGCCGCTCTGCCGTTCTCATGCCG